TGTTACGACAGAAGACCAACGGCTGTTTTACGATTGCCAGGTCTACGTACGAATTTTGTACGATTTCTAGGTCAAATGCGAGGCCCTCGGAATCGTAGAATTTTCTAACGACAGTTCTACGAACGTCCAACCATCGTTTTTCCCTACGATTGAATCTCTATATCTTACGACAATCGCACGGCTGTCGATGAAATATATATTCACGACGAACGACTGCCGTCATCTTCGATATCCAGTGGTAACGCTCATTTTCGCTCACTTTCGCTCTCCCCTGGAATGTGTCATAGCAAAATTGAAGAATAAAATCTATTGGTGTACATCAAAGGAACAAGGTAGCACACCGAGCTTTCAATTTTGCTATGACATGTTCCAGGGATGCAGTCTAGAACGAAAGTGAGCGTAACCTTTGGATATCGCATCCTCGATACTCCTTGGATTACGCTCACTTTAGCTCTCTACACCCCTCGGAATAGGCTGATACCTGTCCTTTGAAGAGTACAAAGGAGAGACGCCCGACTTTAAAGCCTGTCAATTTTTACCGTAACGTGACCGCGAGATTCTTTTGATGTATACCAAAGGATCGAACTAGCATTCTTGTCTCATCAACAAGGTGGTGCACACGAGCCTTCAATTTCGCTATGACATATTCCAGGGGTGTAGATGGAATGCCATAGACCCGTCATAGGTACAGCAACCAAGCGCGGTTTCCTTCGACATTAGCTAGTAGGGAATCGAATCATACTGTCGAGATCTTGTTCCAAATATTCCGAAAAAATGGTGCGCACACAGGACTTTCATAGCTGACCAGAAATAAGTTTATATATCTGTGTAATTGACTATACATAGATAAATGATTGATATTATTTCAGCATAACCTTTTATTGTTTTACCCTTGCGTGTTGTTTTTCGTCCTTTTATGACACAGTATGTGCGTTCAATTACGTTCACTAACCGCTGCCTTTACGTTCTTTCGCTGCCAGTTCGTTTAGATAGACCAGTTTATTAAAAAGAAATGTTTAATATTTAATGCTTGATATTTATACCAAACGGCTTTTATTCTTTTTGTATTAACCTTTGGCTTCCATGAAGCTAACTATGTTTTAAATAAATGCTGCTTACTAGCTATATGGCTTAGTACATCTTGCTTTTGTGGAATGATTAGTCAGCTTCATTATGCATCATTTCCTTGTAATAAATACATTCTTCAATACGTATTGTTAAGAACTTATTGAACAATGAGACTCCATAAAATTGTACTGGTGAAATAATGATTATACAAAATCAGAAATTCATCGCCCGAAAAATATTGAGCAAGTTACATGTAAATTACGTAAATACATGAATATTACGCAATTACTTGAGTTGATACACGATAGAATTCTATACGTTGAAATCTATAAATACCATCCCATTAAAGTTGTTATATGTTTACGCTATTCTTTCCTTAGTAATTATCAAAATAATGCATCTTTTATGTTATTGTTCAAAGTGTACAGATGATTAGCTATGCATTTTATTAGCCTTGGCTCGTGGTCAGTGTCAGAGTTTTATTTGAAGATAGTAGCTAAGTAGCCGTTGATAATTGTACTTGTGGTATAGTTTAGGATCTGTAGATAAGTGTGATCGTCTGTAGTCTAGGTGTGGGGAAGTCCAGTCTGTGACGTAGTGTGTTTGCCTCCGCAGTCGGCTGATGCTGACCGCGGGGTTAAAAGCAGAATGTATGGTCAGTTTAACCACGGAATTAGATTAGTTATCGAAGTCCGTGGTTTAACCTAGTCGTGTAGGGGTCAAATTTAGCAGGATTATGCTTACTCATAAATCTTTTTAATGTAACAGGATTTTACTATGGGGGCAGTTAATAAGGTAGTTAAGTCTGGGAGCAAAAGAGAGTAGAGTGGGGGAGTTGTAATAGAGTTGGGGAGTTGGAATAGTGGAGAAGAGTTAGGGAGTTGGACTAGAGGAGTAGAGTTGAAGAGTTGGAGAGAGAAGGTTGAGTTAGGGAGACCGAGTTGAGAGATCTAAAGACATAGAGGAGAGTTAGTAAGTTTAGTAGTTTTAGCTGTAGTCTTAGGTCTGTGTAGTTTTACAGTTAATAGTAGGAGATTAGCTTGGGGTGGAGAGATTGCGTTCACAATGGTGAACACTTGTATATTTTATGACGTATTAAAATACTTGCGTTGTAAATAAAGTGGAAATATCACTGTACTTATTGTGTTGTTCAATTATTTTGAACTGGTGGCAGCGGCGGAATTATTACAGAAAGTAACACGGTGGGATAATATAGAAACGTAACACTGGCGGCAGTGGTGAAATATTACAAACGTAACAATATAATATCCCCTGCAAGAATTTTAAAGGACGACAATACCTAACAATATAACCAGGTTTTCAGATTTAACATCATTTTTTAATGTTCATGGCTTTACCTTAAACTGTTTACATGGTTATGCATGTATTTATATATTTGTGCAACTTCAAGAGATTTTTATTTACATAGACCAGCAATAGCATTAATTAGATCCGTAGTGCATTGTAGGTTTTACTAAAACAGACAGGTCATCTAGTACTAATCTGTCGGACTTGAACTGATTGAACTAAATGTACTGTATAGCATTACATTATTGTGTAGGCAATTATTAATAAGTATACATTAATTTATTAAAACTGGAGCTGTTAAAGCGTTTTAATACAACGGTACACAAAAAAAAAGCATATTTACATTTTATCAATGATGAAAAGAGTATTTTTATCCTGGATGGTAGCTACATATATCTACTACGCTGTTTTTTAAGTATAGAATTTTAACAGCTTACAAGAACCTGTGGTTTTAATCGTTCACCATGAAGTTTTCTTTGTTCTCTAATCCTCATTATTGACATTAAGACTTACCTGTGAAGGAATAAGTCCACACTCTTTACAGAAAAAAAATCTATACCTATATTATACCTAACCACCAGGTATAAAGCGTCTTTGAGACATGCGGTCAACGCACCATGCTGGGGCATGTTCGTTTATGCGGAACAAACGGTTTGACCGTTTATAAATGTAACAATTTCGGGTATAAATCCTGTTGGACCTGCAAATGTTTATGCAGGCCTTGCAAGAATTTGTCAAGGCTCGACAGAAAGCAGCATTAGATAACTAGGTCCGAACTTATTTGATAAACGAACAACAGTGGTCCGACTTGACCGTTTAAACGAAAACGACCTAGCTAGGTCACATGGATGTTTGTATCGAAAGACAAAGTTAGCCATCAAGCGTTTGGAGGAGACAAACAGGTGCGTATCGCCAGGTAATATCTTTGGTGATTAATGAGGCAAAACTAATTGTTATGAACTGAAATCATTTATATCATACCTAGTATTGCGTAACACAAACTAAACTAGTTGATTGTGATGACTTGGTACGCTCTTTGAGAGCGCCATGAAAATAGTATACGTGTCTTAGGTTATTCTCATCTGATGTCGCCGTTGCTACGTTTGAATTGAAGATGCCGTTGACAATATACAGCATGTGACATACCTGCTTTAGGATCTGTCTTCAGATCTAATTTAATTTATCGTATAAGTTAAAGCTTTCTGATCAGCTTTTCGTCCTGTAATGCCGATTGTTTACAAATGTTTGTCACATTGATGCTGGGGTTTTTAATTAAAAAATACTACCAGTGATTCACCTAACCAGCCAACGAACATATACAATATACAGCTCATTGTCAGACTTATAAAGTGACATGCTTTTATGACATAAGAACAACAGTTTTTATTCTCAAAGATTAAAGAAGAAAAATATATAACTGGACCTTGTATTTTCAAACTGCCCCTAAAAAAGCAGCAATTAGTGATAATTTAGGATTTTCCAAAAAACACCACCCTGTTAGTTAAAAAAATACATACCTGTCCTCTTTGATGACTTGATTAACTTATTTTGTTGGGTTAAGTTATGAGTAATTGAGATAATTGTCATATTTTGCAGGGACTTGATATTTAATTAGTGTTATGTTAAGAAAACTAGACTCTGGGTTGCAATACTAATTTAAGGGAGATAACTCTCACACAAATTACAGGTGTAATAATGTAGGATATGACCTTAAAAAGGCATGTAAGGAATCCACTCTCTTTCATTAATTCCTTTTTGCAAACATACACAATATATTTGTATTTAAGGAATTAATTTGTCACCTTCTCCTAATTTTAAGAATGATAACAGCATTCCCAAATGCCTAAATGCATTGTAGATTTTAATTTTTAAATGTTTTTTTTTTATCAAAATGCGAAGAAAACTGCCTAAATCTTACTGGACATGTGTTCTTATACATAGACAGGACATATTTTAATCAAATCCCAAAGCAATATACTCAAAAATTGTGTAAGGAATTTTTTTCTGAAATTTTGTTGTGGTATTTCCATTAATGAAAGTATATTTAATGTACATTTGACAGGATTGACACATGTAGTTACTCCTAGTAAATTGAAGCATGAGAAAAATGTTAAAAATGATCTTTGGAGAAGGCTAGTGTTTGTATGACCTTGGGAATACAGTTACTGGTGGTATGACTTTGGGGATCCATATATCTGTTAATATGATCTTGGGGATTGTATTCACTCCATTGGAATGACCTTATAAGAAGGTTACTAATTAATTAATTAATTAATTTCAATAGGAGGTACATTTGTCAAGGTCGTTCATTTCTATGCTTGCTACTATGAACCCCATCCTTCAATATTTATTCAATTGTCTGGTTATACTGTTTGAGACATGATAAATTCTCGTTCATGTCGATCAAAAGGGTCAGTATAAGGATCAAAGGAAGGTGATTATACAGATAGTGATATATTTAAACCACTGGTTTAGGTTTTTATCTTTCAGAAATTCATTGTTAAATGATATAAATTTGGACTTTTCATCCATTATAGCGTAAAACATAACAATTGTCATTAAAGTTCCAAAATATGTTTAAAGATTCTGACAGATCTTGCTGTTTTTGTAGGCTGGACTGGTTGATGAGGACGATGAAGAAGATGAGAAATATGAGGAAGACGACGAAGAGGAAGAAGAAGTCAAGAAGTCACGCAGGAAGATCCGCAAGAAGGCCAAGAAGAAGGCTGTAAGATCAAAGTGAAATTTATGAACTACATCCATGTATTATAAATGTAAGGATTATAGTTGATTATAATTGGTGAAGGTGTAGCCTGGTTCAATACTGGGCCCAGATGTATGAAACCATTTTCATGCTCTTGCAAGAATTTGTGCACAATCCAACTTTCTTGTATAAAATCATACAAAGTGTATATACATTGAAAATGGTGCTTGACTTCAAATTCCGCCAAATCATTAATAAAATGTGAAATTTAAATAAGTTGTCTCAGTCTCCAGATTGAGGAAACGGGCACAGAATCCGAGTTGGAACATGAGAGCAGTTTTTATTAATATCTTGCCCTGATCTGGCTGTTGCAATGATTATCAAGGAGTTATACTAACACACACATCTAGCCTAATTGTATTAAATGCTATTATCTTGTTCTCAGGTCCAAATGAGGATGCTATTATACATGTTATCACAGTCCGAACTAACTCACAAAGACAGGAGCTGAAGAAAAAATTCAAAACTGCTTATGGCACAGTAAGTATAAAATGACTGTTTGTGCATAGACAGACATATAAGGTTTTATAAGAATCATATGGGATCACTACAAATTGACCTCATTTACATATTTATAACGATATCCTGCTGCTGATAGGAATTGATCCACAAAACTGGCCATATTTTATAATTAAAATTAAAGCTTCTTATTACATTTTTTTGTAATATAATTCAAAGGCAGCCTTTTAAATCCGTGTGAGTGTTTTCTACTTAGCAAGGTTTTTATATGACTGTAAACACCATTGTTATGTAATGCCAGAGCTTTTTTTTTTAAATTTGGGATGGGGCCACTTTGTCTGATTTTGGGGGAAAAAATAAACAATTACCAAGAGGGAAGGAATTTTTCAGAATTATAATACAATTATTGGTAATCAGGCTTATTATACATATGACATAGTTTCAGTTGGGAATAGGGCATTATTAGCCCCCAAAAAACACAGAAAAAAGCCCTGAATTTGCCTTTTATTGTGTATTATGTAATAATAGTTGTCTCATGAAACGACTGTATATAATAACTGGATGTCTTTTTAATAAAGACTAGTTCATTCACTCTATCATTAAGATGTTACAAGCAAATTCCTCGATTTAAATTGTAGGAAATACATGAGTGTAAGGCATAATCAGTGTCTCACAAGAAATTGGTGTATTTTTGTTGCTTAGGACCTGGTTGAGCGCCTGAAATCAGAACTGAGCGGAAACCTGAAGGAGTGTGTTATGGCTCTGTTCGTGAGTCCGGAGGAGTATGATGCCTGGTGTGTGAGGAACGCTATATATGTAAGTAATGTGTAAGAAACATGTTGTTGGACAATTGATGTGTGAGGAACTCTAATGCAATAGGTAATATACATGTATCATATCTCATTTAAAATTAATTCTATTCTACAAATTAAATGAACAAATGGACCAGGCACAGGCATTGCCTATTAAAGCTCTTTCTAGATGAAAAGACAGATTTTAAGTTCTTGAACTTGTGTCTAATTCTTTTTATGTTTTGCCATTAGAATATGTATAAATGAAGTGAATATATCATACTAACAAACAGTAGTAATATTTTGCAAACACTATATAAATGTGCATGACAGCAATATTAACTGTCAGTTTTGCAGGCAAATAGGGTAAAACCTCAAAATATGGTCCGAAATAATTGTATAGACAAAATTCACCTCAAAGAACTTCTTTTGACACGTTTACGTACAGTGCCACCATACAGGATTGTCATCATATCATACATTGACATGTATTGACACTAAAAAAGTATACATCTTTATGATGTCATTATGTCAATGAAGTATACTTCTTTTGACACGTATACGTACAATGCAGTGCCACCATACAGCATTGTCATCATATCATACATTGACATGTATTGACACTAAAAAAGTATACGTCTTTATGATGGCATTATGTCAATGAAGAATACTTCTTTTGACACGTTTACGTACAGTGCCACCATACAGGATTTTCATCATATCATACATGGACATGTATTGACACTAAAAAAGTTTACATCTTTATGATGGCATTATGTCAATGAAGGATACTTCTTTTGACACGTTTACGTACAGTGCCACCATACAGGATTTTCATCATATCATACATGGACATGTAATGACACTAAAAAAGTATACATCTTTATGATGGCATTATGTCAATGAAGTATACTTCTTTCAAAATTGTCACAGGGTCACCAATCCTCAGATTAAAGCTATGGTGGAAGCATCAAAGATGGTAAGCTTAACTGTCACGACTAAGAAACACATACAGTACCTATACACTCTATCGATATTTGCTTACATTCTCTCCTTTAAATTTTCTTGCACAAATTGGCTTTTGTTTCTCTGAAGCTGTTATTTAAATGAATTAATAAATCACAGGTGTGCTGTCTTTGTTACTGTAGTTGCTTTCCCTGACCTGAAAGCCCCAGAGAATGCACTAGAGGAAGACATTGAAGGTGACACATCTGGAGACTACAAACGTCTACTGATATCGACAAGCCAGGTATAAACCCTGAAATGTTCCTAATTGTCCGATGTGTATTCCTTTGACATTTTCTCAAAAATATTAATGTTCTTGCATATATACCCAAACTCATGTACTATGTCATCAATACACAAAATCTGAACTCAAAGATAACACAAGGCACCCAAACAAAAATAAAAACTGGAGATGAAACCAACTGTGCGCCAATATTCTTATGAATGATGCACATGATTGAGATGAGAAGAAGTGCTATGGAATGGTCAGTATTTTTTACACCACATTTAATTTGGCACAAAACAAACTTGGTACAAAGCCCAGGGCCACCAACCTGTTTATCGGGCTAAAATGTGTTGCTTTATCTCTGATATTGATAAAATTTGCATAGCCATTACAACATACGTATAATTACATTTTTTTTTATTCCTTAGGATAATTGTAACATTATTGACCTTGAGAGACTGGAGGAGGCTGTGGAGAAAGATCAAGACATGCCCACAGGAATGTTTGCAGTCAACCATGATAAGTTGGTGAACGTGGGTAGGGCAGAGCGTGACACACAGAAGTTAATGTTTGAAGCAGATCAGGATAGCTGGGGCACAGATGAGACCTTTTATCAAATCTTTTCCATACGTGACCTGTACCAGCTCAGGAGGACTTGTGCTGAATACTTAAAGGTCAGCTCATGTTCATGGTTACACCAAAATATGAAAAATGAAATATAAACCAAATCACATGTAATTAATTTCTCAAAATCTGAAGAAGTTAGAGGATATACTTTAATCTGTAGCTGGTAAAAGTCGCCACTGACAATAATTTGTACTCCACCAAAAGGTTGGTAATTTCCCTTGACATTCTGCAATACAAACTCTCTTTGGTCAAATAATTTACAGCCTACAAATAAATTTCATCAATTATTAAAACGTTCACTTCCAAAATATATCTACACCTGCTTTCATCGTGGTCAAATAAATTACACAACTCTGTGTTTGTGGGGTGGCACGATCTACCCCCAAACAACCTAAAAAGACCCAAGAAACATCCAAAAAAACCACACTTAAATAGCATCCATTTCATACTATAATATAGTAACCTAATTTTCTGCAAACGCAAAATAGATTGAAATAATCAGAACCTTAAAAAAAACAAGTACAAATTTAACACATCAAACAATATCTTCTTTACAGCAAATGCACTTATCAAATACAAAATCAACATAGGCTACCTATGTCAAATTATGTGGAAAGAGTGAGAAAAATACTTTTTTATATAACAAATATCGATCTTCTCTGAATAGGATAGGCAAACTTGTTTGCAGGGGAAGCAACTCAAATATGTATAGTTAATATTACTCTCGTCACTATAACTATCCAATTAACGGGAAACATCATTATGTTACATAATGTCATGTAGTAGAAATATAAAAATCTATGTATATTTAATGTTTTTGTGTGTTTTTAGGGTCTTTTTTTTTTGGTAAATCGTGCTGCCAGTGTCAATCCAGTAAGCCTAGAAATCTGTGGATAGTCAAACAACTAATGTCTTTACTGGTAAGGGCCTCTCTGAGAAGAACGGCAGATTTCCCAGTACTTGGAGTAACTGTCACGTTTTTACTTATTGATATAACGTTAGTTTCAATGATATGTGAAAGCACAAAGGATTTCCCAGACTATCCCTGGAAAAATAACAAAAGTATTGAAAATCTTCATTTTGAAATTTGGCGGTACCGGTCTCTGTCGAAGCTTCTTCCCTTGTGTATGCTTACATAGACCTAAATTAACTTTAGGTCTCTGATGCTTATGTGTGTTGTGACCCATATCAGTATTTCAGACACTTGTAACGAGCCCCTGTGAGTAAAGCCTTAGTGAGCACTACAAACGACGCTCAAACTTTTTCTCCGACGAGTTTCTTTTAATAGCCGACACCCATAGCAACTTCTGTCTGTCTTCTCTGGGAATATATGGCCTCTTCTTTAAATGCAATACGGGACACAACAACACGTTTTCGGCATAATAATGACAGACTAGTTGTTACCGCGTACCCGCTGATAGTGATACCGGAAATAGACTAAGCCGCAACACCTAGAGCGCCACCTATTTTATCATTCAGGGGCGGTAACTGATAAATGTTTGCCCGCGTTTTTTTTTTGCGTTAATGCTTATTTTTGCTCGTATACTATATACTATTCCTCATTAAGTTATTATTAGATGCGTTGCATTATTACCAACTGTGGTAGTCAAAACTTTAACAAATTTTACATTGACCGATTCAAAATATACCATTACGTACACGTGGTCTACAAGCTAGTAATATAGGCCTATCGACTTTTTTTTATATCTGTCTGGCGTCTATTACAATTTGTAATTGAACGGAAAATAGTTTGATACTATTAGGAATAACTTATATAATTAATATATTATACGTATGAAATATAAATTAGCTTCTAATTCTCGATCAAATGCGTTTATATTAGCCACTGCCGTGCGTTTTCCGCTAGCAGACGACACCTGTAACTTCCGCCAGGTATATATGTAAAGCGTAATTTTCACCAAGATCGAAATCTGACAGAACTGTTTACCAGTCACTAAGGACAGCCTCACACGGTTGTTTCTGTAGAGTCTAGGGTTTAACAATTGGTAAATCATTCGTGAATACAGGTAAGCCTTATTATGTAACAATCTGTACAGGTATAGTAATTTAACGAAAATAACACCAACATCATGTTTATTCCAAAGAAATATATATATAAATCGTTATGTAAACAAAGCTAACGGTACATGTAAATTAACATTTTCAATAAGGTCTGTGTATTCTTAGTAAGTATGATGGTATTCGACTGACAGTGTTACGACCACCGTCACAGGTGCGAAGGTGTGAAAATACTCTTTTTGTTTGCTGCACATTAAATTAAGCTGACATCAATGCCATAATAAGGTAGAAATATCTGCCTTTATGTCTAAACGTGATACACATAATACCAAAGGGGTTTGACTGAGACTCTGTGAGTGAGCAAGGACAGAAATTAAGAAGAAAAAAATCCATAACAAATTGTTAGGTAATACTTTACAATATAATTTAGATGAAGCTTTCTTTCTCTCTTTCTTTCTTTCTTTCTTTCTTTATATTTATAAAAATACCTGTATGATAGGGATTGCATAATTTTTGTTACATTGTACATTGCTTTGTGTTATAAACAACTTCTTGGTGAAAATTATATGTTTATTTATATTTCAGATAGCTGAAGCATGTCAAACTATGGGGTGAGTCTTTATGGTTTCATGTTACACCATTGTGACTGTTTTATAGTGTATATATCAAAGTAATTCCTTTTTATGCGCCCTATCCCCATCCCAATTTTTGTTTTGTTTTGTTTTGGGGGGGGGGGCATATAATAGTGTTGCCAATGTCTGTCCTACCCATCCCGTTGCATCCCATCCCGTCTCGTGGTGATTCATTGTCCCGACTCGTTCAACTTCATATCTGAATAGATTTTCATCTTTACACAAATAAGGTCAAGAATGAGAATACCTGGGATGAGATCTATTTCAGAGTCTTTATGACACCAATGTTGTTGCTATTTGTAAGAGAACCACAGAGCCAAGAGGCATACATGTCTTACAGAAGTTTTCGTGTTATTGAATATTTTACAGTGGTGTACCATTTCATTAAGAAAAGCAGAANCCCCCCCCCCCCCCCCCCCACTCCAATTTGTGGTGTTCAAAATACTGAATTTTGTGAAACAGAATGACATCTTTGATCAAAAAGGTCATTTGTGTAACGTAGGTAATCAAAATTTGAAGTAGTTTTTCTTCATATTTTGAAAAAACAACCTAAAAAGCAAGAAAATGATGACAAAAATTAAGAGAAGTTTCAAAATAATAAATCTTTGTTTGGAGAGAAAGGTAGTTCTGTATACTGTTAATTTCAGAGTAACTATGGTGGAAGCTATGGTGGCGGTTATGGCGGGGGTTATGGGGGTGGAGGAGGGTATCCCCCTCCCAGCAGTGGCCCTCCACCCCCACCAGGTGGTTACGGGGGATACGGGGGTGGCTCTGCCTACAATGTGAATGGATACGGAGGATACGGAGGAGGAGGAGGAGGATATGGTGGTGGATATGCTGTAGGCTCTGCTCCTCCCCCTGGGGGACAATATGGTGGTGCTTATGGTGGCGGTAGGTACCCAAAGGTTATAGGTCAATTTCCTTGTTTTTTGGAGAAACAGAGTTGGTTTTTGAAAATATAAAGTAACATATAATTATCTTCAATAAGATTCATCAGTTTGGAAATATGTGATATCAAAATATCTTATTCAAGACCGACTGGTCCCTTTGTAAGGCTATGACTAGCTTGACAAAGGGACCAGTCGGTCTTGAAATGTTGCAACACGTTTAACACTGCAAATATTTTTTTCCAATATCCAGCAAGTGTCTAAGAGGAGAAATTATATATTTTCCTATACAAAATTGGTCCAATAGTCTAGACATCTAACCATTTTCATTACAATAAGGTTGCTGGATTGCTAAAGCTCTTTTGTAAAATTATCAGTGAAACTTCAGCTTTCATTTTAAATGGACTATTTTCATCAATGTCTGTTAAAAATTTTTTACAGTATGCAAATTTATTTTGAAATATTGACATTTCAAATTGTTTGATTCTTTAGACATTTTAGCTTGTAATGATAAATCAATATTATTTTCTCAAACTTTCTTTGATAGATGAATTTCTTTCATTATTAAGTGTCTATAAACATCTCCGTTTTGTCAGGATACCAGAGTGGTGCGGTGGCTGGATTTACTGTTCCTGCTGTACAGCAGTGCTCCAATATGTATCAAGGAATGATGCCCCAGGTCTGTCTGGAGATATATACACATTAAAACTCAGGTTTTCACCTCTAGCCCATTGTGAATAAGTTGGTAATACTATGTAATGTCAACATAATGGGATGTTACTGTGTTTTGGTTTTTAAACTGAAAAAAAATATGCATGATGACTATTTAATCACTGCTTCCATGGCCTCGTAGAATAAAATATGTTTTTTGCTGTAAGATTTCTCAAGATACTAATACCACGGAATAATCTTAAGTCGGTGCTAATACCAAATGATATGTAAACAATTTACTGCTTTCCACAGTTAAAAATTATATAAAAATCCATGGATGTACAATGATGATCGAGATGGTGTGTAACATACCTTATATATTTTATTCTGAAAGTATAAGTTACGACATGATTCCATTTTGTAGTTGATGAAGGTCAAGGTTGTTGAGCATTCTGGTCATTGTCATTGAGTTTTTATGTACATTGTGTATTACAGCAACAACAGATGCCACAAACTGTCAACTATGATTCCTACAACAACATGATGTTACAACAACAGATGCAGATGCAGCAAATGGTAAGTGATCAGTAGGTCAAATGGTAGATTGTTCAAGGTTAGTTCTATACAAATAGTCTGGGGTCAAGGTCAAGTTCTGCACAAATGGTTGGTGATCAAAGTCAAGTTCTACACAAATGATAGGTGATGAAGGTCAATTAAAAGTTCTACACAATTATAAGCTGATCAATGTCAGATTCTATAAAAATGTTAGGTGATCAAGGTCATGTTTAATACAATTATTCAGTGATCAATGTCAAGTTCTACACAAATGGTAGGTGATCAAGGTCAAGTTTAACACAATTATTCTGTGATTAAGGTCAAGTTCTAAACAATCATAAGCTGATAAAGGTCAAGTTCTGCACTAATGTAAGGTGATAGAGGTAAGGTTCTAAACCAATGGTAGGGGATCAATGTTATATGTTATGAATGATACATTATTAATATTATACCGACAGCTTTCAGTGTTCAGGATCATGCTATACGGTATATTGTAACACAAATTATTAGTATTCAAGAATATTTTTTAATAAATAGTTTCGTCCTCAAGATAGAGTTCTACAGTACCACAAATGGTAGTTGCTTGTTCAGGCTCATGTTGAGGTATTTGAACATGCTTCAGTCTGTAACACTATACGGTCTTCAAAAATGTATATCAATTCAAGAGTCAGTGATGTTTCAGATATTTCTTGCTGTCAGACAGGAGTTTATGATTTTGTATTCTGGTGTCCATTTTCTTTATGACGTTCACATACAGTGAATTGTTATGTTGATTTTTTAGTTCCAGCAACAAGCCAAGGCAGAGAAGAAGACGAGAAGGGTAAGACAATTTTTTACTGGACAAGATATACAAATATGTAAAAAGATTTAACAAGTAATTTTTTAAATAAAATAATCAGAAATGTTTAGGATCAACTGTAAATCATGTGGGCAATTTTGAGTCTTTGTGTTATATGTGCGAAAATGTTATCATATAGAAGAACAGTATAATCATGATGACAGCAACTTGACACAAAACAGTTCATTGGTGGTAAGATTGTTACGTTCTAGGAAATCCTATGACACCTACCAGCCCTAGATTGTTATTGTCCGTGTTATCAAAATGACACAATTTTTATCCAATACGTATAAAGTCAGATTAAGGTTATTGTGTGCTGTTTATGGTAACAGAGAAGGGAGAGGCAAGAAGAACAAGGGGAGGAAGAAGAAGAAGAAGAGGAGCAGGAAGAGGAGGTAAATTGATGTATTGCATAACAATGGTAGAGTGATTCACATACATTGATATCTGTTAATTATTCATATAACATTTTAAGGATCCCTGTCCCACTGCACTGTGCTTTTTCCTGTATGAGTAATCTCCCCTTAACTTCCGTTTGGATATAACTCTAGCAAATTTGGGCAAAGACACTGCTGTTGGCCAGGTATATATATAGCGCAATCGGTTAGAGTTAGAGGTGTGTATCGCAAGGGTTGAGTCATATGATTCACCAGATTGATATGTAATGTTTCACATACCAGGCTTACTTGGACACATGATTCACCAGATTGATATGTAATGTTTCACATACCAGGCTTACTTGGACATATGATTCACCAGATTGATTTGTAATGTTTCACATACCAGGTTTACTTGGACATATGATTCACCAGATTGATTTGTAATGTTTCACATACCAGGTTTTCTTGGACATATGATTCACCAGATTGATAAGTAATGTTTCACATACCAGGTTTACTTGGCCATATGATTCACCAGATTGATATGTAATATTTCACCACGGACTTAGATAACAATCTAATCTAATTCCGTGCTTATATGTTTAGGTAAGGTTTTTATGAGTCAGAGTGATTCACATATCCAATAATTGGAATTATTGCCACATTGACTACACTTTAAACTATATTCACACAGATCAGTTGTACTACAGCTGAAGTACAGGCAGAAATATGGTAGAATCAATGATTAACATGTATAACAGAATCAATTAGAATTTTAATGATTTTTCAACTTGTGGACTCTAAAGAATGTCTAAAGTTTTCGTGATTTTTTTTTTTTAAGTTTAAAAAAACATTTGATCAATATGTTTGATTTCTACAAATATTGGATATACAGTAATATGTGTGAATTTGTGCACCAATCACACCTACTTCACAATAGGAAAAACTAAACCTGTGTTTTTTTTTGTATCAATAATCTCAAATGCAATTTTTTTCACTCTAATAATTTGAATTGAAGAGTTCATCTGGGGTTAGTTGGTTTTCTTTTCATTTAGTTGTTCATATGATAGTTTAATTGTTCTTGCCTTCAAAGGTTCCATTACTTCTTGATGAAATTGGTGAACTTTTGTTTGTTCGGAAATCTCCTCCTACATTTTTCGACCAATCTTTTTGAAACTTGGTATACATAATAATCATAATATGAAGTTGTGTCTCCCTTAAAAGAATTTTGATTTGACAATTTTTCCAAAAGTTACTGCCCTTTGTTCATTTCAGTATTTGATTTTTTGTCCGGAGATCTCCTACATTTTTTGATGGATTTCTTTGAAACTTAGTAGGCTAAATATTCATGATATGTTGTTGTGTTTCCTTGAAAAGAATTTTGATTCGAGAATATTTGCAAAAGTTATTGCCCTTTGTTTATTTCAGTATTTGATTTTTGTCCGGCAATCTCCTCCTACATTTTTCAACAGATCTCTTTGAAACTTGGTATACATGATACTCATGATATGAAGTTGTGTCTCCCTTAAAAGTATTTTGATTCAACTATTCTTGCAAAAGTTATTGCCTTTTGTTCATTTCAGTATTTGATTTTTGTCCGGCAATCTCCTCCTACATTTTTCAACAGATCTCTTTGAAACTTGGTATACATGATACTCATGATATGAAGTTGTGTCTCCCTTAAAAGTATTTTGATTCAACTATTCTTGCAAAAGTTATTGCCTTTTGTTCATTTCAGTATTTGATTTTTGTCCGGCAATCTCCTCCTACATTTTTCAACAGATCTCTTTGAAACTTGGTATACATGATACTCATGATATGAAGTTGTGTCTCCCTTAAAAGTATTTTGATTCAACTATATTTGCAAAAGTTATTGCCTTTTGTTCATTTCAGTATTTGATTTTTGTCCGGCAATCTCCTCCTACATTTTTCAACAGATCTCTTTGAAACTTGGTATACATGATACTCATGATATGAAGTTGTGTCTCCCTTAAAAGTATTTTGATTCAACTATTCTTGCAAAAGTTATTGCCTTTTGTTCATTTCAGTATTTGATTTTTTGTCCAAAGATTTTCTCCTACATTTTTTATAGCATATCAGCTAACCACTCTTAGAATGATGCAGATCTTATTCCAGTGTAAGAAATTATATAACACTATATGGCATTCGACGGGCGTATTTTGTTCCGCCCCACAGTACTCTTGTTAAAGAAAGTTGTTACAAATTATATATACCTCACAAGTTCATATTACAGATAGACAATATATTCAAGAGTTCATTGTTTTGACAAAATATTTTTGCAAGGAACTGACTTGGCAATGTTCTAGTTATTTTCCTTGTATTTTGTTCTTTAATGTACTTGTATTGCACTATCTTATTTTCTAAAATTAACAGAAATCTGGAAAGGTTAGCTTACCTCTCAATCCATGCTTATAACAGATCCAGGTTTTGAAGTGTGCGATTGGCTTTCAATAGAGTTAGATTCTGACAGTGTTCTGGCTACAATTGGCTCAGAAATTATTTTGATATCTTGCAACTATTTCATTATCAAGAGCAAGTCATAGTTTCCCTTTAAAAACTTTTATCATTTCCTTTAAAAACTAATGTTGAGGGTTCAATGTAAGGGGGAAACACAGTAGAAGTTTGAAGAATAAAAATGTGTGATAGAATTATTTTGCATAGTGCTTTCTAGATTTATATGTTAAAGAAAATGTTTATTTTAATTTGTTTATGTCACATTCAAAATTCAATTTACATCACAGAAAAACATAAAATGTTTGAATAACTAAATTAGGATATTTTTGTGAGGTATTTTATGATAAATGTAAATTATACATGTAATACTGTTCACTCAATATATATTGCCAGTTTTGACAAAAATGGACGTTATATCGATTACTTCTGACCATACCTGGAATGATAATAATAATAATAGTATACAGCATTTGATATAGCGCCCTATCTAGCTAACATAACAGCCACTCTAAAGTGCTTAATAGTCCATAGATATACAATTCATACAATTAGCGTAATCAATACAATTTTTAAGGAATTTGCACTTGAATGCTACAGCACAGATACAGTGACATCCACCCCAGACCAATTTATACTTCACCTGGGTTGTTGGAGTTGTGTGGGCAGAAGAAAAACACTTTCTCTGAATATCTATGCGCCTGCGTGGAAGGCCGGAGTGTTTTAAAACCACTCGACCAATCCGCCCATAAACATAGATAGTCATTCCTATTATACGAGACACAGATAGTCATCCCTATTATACGAGACACAGATAGTCATTCCTATTATACAGAACACAGATAGTCATCCCTATTATACGACACACAGATAGTCATTCCTATTATACAGAACACAGACAGTCATCCCTATGATACGAAACACAGATAGTCATCCCTATTATATGAGACACATATAGTCATCCCTATTATACGAGACACAGATAGTCATTCCTATTATACAGAACACAGATAGTCATACCTATTATACGAAACACAGATAGTCATTCCTATTATACAGAACACAGACAGTCATCCCTATTATACAAAACACAGATAGTCATCCCTATTATACGAAACACAGAAAGTCATCCCTATGATACGAAACACAGATAGTCATCCCTATTATACGAGACATAGACAGTCATCCCTATTATACGAAACACTGATAGCCATCCCTATTATGAGACACAGACAGTCATCCCTATTATACGAAACACTGATAGCCATCCCTATTATGAGACACAGACAGTCATCCCTATTATACGAAACACTGATAGCCATCCCTATTATGAGACACAGACAGTCATCCCTATTATACGAAACAAAGATAGTCATCCCTATTATACGAGACACAGATAGTTATCCCTATTATACAGAACACAGACAGTCATCCCTATGATACGAAACACAGATAGTCATCCCTATTATACGAGACACAAACAGTCATCCCTATTATACGAGACACAGACAGTCATTCCTATTATACCAGACACAGATAGTCATCCCTATTATACGAGACACAAACAGTCATCCCTATTATACGAGACACAGACAGTCATTCCTATTATACCAGACACAGATAGTCATCCCTATTATACGAAACACAGAAAGTCATCCCTATGATACGAAACACAGATAGTCATCCCTATTATACGAGACACAAACAGTCATCCCTATTATACGAGACACAGACAGTCATCCCTATTATACGAGACACTGTTAGTCATCCCTATTATACGAGACACAGACAGTCATCCCTATTATACGAGACACTGTTAGTCATCCCTATTATACGAGACACAGACAGTCATCCCTATTATACGAGACACAGACAGTCATCCTTATTATACGAGACACAGATAGTCATCCCTATTATACGAAACACAGATAGTCATTGCTATTATACAGAACACAGACAGTCATCCCTATTATACGAAACACAGATAGTCATTGCTATTATACAGAACACAGACAGTCATCCCTATTATATGAGACACAGATAGTCATCCCTATTATATGAGACACAGATAGTCATCCCTATTATATGAGACACAGATAGTCATCCCTATTATATGAGACACAGATAGTCATTCCTATTATACAGAACACAGATAGTCATCCCTATTATACGAAACACAGATAGTCATTCCTATTATACAGAACACAGACAGTCATCCCTATTATACGAGACACAGACAGTCATCCCTATTATACGAAACAAAGATAGTCATCCCTATTATACGAGACACAGATAGTCATCCCTATTATACGAAACAAAGAAAGTCATCCCTATGATACGAAACACAGATAGTCATCCCTATTATACGAGACATAGACAGTCATCCCTATTGTACAAGACACAGACAGTCATCCCTATTATACGAAACACTGATAGCCATCCCTATTATATGAGACACAGACGGTCATCCCTATTATACGAAATACAGATAGTCATCCCTATTGTACAAGACACAGACAGTCATCCCTATTATACGAAACACTGATAGTCATCCCTATTATATGAGACACAGACAGTCATCCCTATTATACGAGACAATGTTAGTCATCCCTATTATACGAGACACAGACAGTCATCCCTATTATACGAGACACTGATAGTCATCCCTATTATACGAGAGACTGACAGAAAGGTTATTTATTTATTTTTTGTTATTTTCCATGAGCGGGATCCGATGTCTGGTGGCTAACATGGTTTCTGATATTAATAAGCCAGTAGTTTTATTTAAATTTGCACAAATGCTTATTTTTTCTCTATTGTTGTCTATATGTTAGTATTGTAGATAATTTCTAACAATCTTTTCAAAATATAGAATCAAGAATGGATGAAAGTAAATATCAAAAACCTGAAGTTATGATAAAGCTTAACTACAGTTTGGTTTTATTCACATATGTTATTATCATTTTCATTAACATCAGCAATTTAATATTATTAAAGTGTAGTCAAATTAAACTTAACTCTGTTCACTTCAGATTTTTATCTAAACTGTCAAAAGGTTTTTTTGCACAACAATAACTATATATGTATACGGGCAGAACATGCAAATCGACAATCTTTCTGGGAAAAAAACCCTGAAAATATCTATAGGTATATCATTTGTGCACCCTCAACTTCAAACTTAATTTCAGCATCAAAAAACTGTGCAAACTACACAAATGTTTACGGTACATCGGGTGTAGAGCCAACGCCATACTTCTGATCTAGGTTCTGTAGGTTCCGTTATCCCTTGCTTGGATACCCAGGGGTATGCAGGGCGATTAAGGAATGGGAAACTAAAGGCAATATTCAATCGCAACAAGCTCCGGATAGGTTGGTTTCTTTATTGTATGTCTACCGGTTTTGCCCAAACATGTGGGCTTCTTCAGAACAATTTTTCATGAGAATCTTACCCCTAAGGTACTAAAAATGTGGTTCCATTTTGATTGTTACTTGTGACGTTATACAATGATCTCGGGCAGTAACGAAACTCCTAATATTCCATGACGTTCCGTGATGTATCATCGATGGGCTGTCATGTTATACTCTTATCTTAAAACATTATTTTTCTATTATTATTATGTATTATTATTATTATAGGTGGGGTGTTATTGTCCGTTTCCACCTCTCTGTTATGTTTATGGACTCACAAGTTATCTACATAAATTATGACATATAAGCATATAACATTGAACAACATTCGCATATAAATTATTAATACAGTTCATCTAAGCATACGGTGGATTCTGATGCTGACTTGTATCTAAGGGGTCCATAGTCCACATACTCTGCTTCCGACTTATTCGGTGTTGAAGCTGTGCTGCTTGTATCACTATCTGACAATTCTAAGTCTTTTTATGAGTAGCTTGACTGCTGACTCCAAAACTGGTCTAAAGTTTTTTGAAGCTGGTCCGACTGTGCTAGTTACTTCAGCTGGTTTAACCCTGAACTTCACTAAATTTAGTTGTGTCCTTGTTAGGGCTTCAAATGGACGTTTGTCCCCTGGTTTTTCTGCGTTCTGTTTGATGGTGTCTTTCATAATTTCAGGTTCCACTGTGTAACCTGGATGCTGCTGGTTTAGGTGTCTTTTATAACTTTCCATTCTGCCGTATGACCGCTTACATATCTTGCACCTGTGCCATATCTTCACTGGCCCATGTACCTTGCTAGCGTGTCTACGTAGGGGTTTTATAGTTGAGTAAGTTTTTCCACATCTAATACATGGAATCCGTATCCTATTTTTGACTGGTGTTTTCTTGGTGTTTGCCATTAAGATATAATGTTCATTCCCTCCGGTTGTGTAGTTCTGAGTAGTCTGATCCAGCTCTCTTTGGTTCTGAGTCGGCGGTTAATATCACTGATGTCCGATAGCAATCCCGTAACTGTGACGTCGTGAACATTATGACCCGGCGACATGAAATGTCCCTCCACTGGTTTGTCCGGGTGTTTGTGAATAATGCTGTATAAATGATTGCGTATGTGCGTATTTATAGTTGTAGACGTTTGTCCAACATATTGCATCTTTTGCATGTTATCAAGTATATGGCATTCATACTCTGGCATGTGATATGTCCCTTAACTTTGTATTCTGTTTTTGTGGTGTGGCTCGTATAGTTCTTTGTTGACTCCATATATTTGCTTATCCGACAATCCCTCCCGCATGGACCGCTCCCCGAGCTGGCGGTGTCGCGGTTGATGTTGCTCTTGACTAATATATTTCTAATCGACTTTGGCTTGGTGTAAGCTACAAACATCTTATATTCTAATAGGCCTCTAGTACTAGGGCCTTGCCGTAAGATGTGCTCATACTTTTTTATAAGTACCATTTATGATCCAGAACTCTCTGAAAACGGGGCAAATTACTGATATGTGATATCAGCAGCATCCAGTTTAGACAGAGGGCATTGTATTAAAGTTTTGCTATAACAGTTTGCTTTTTATAGGTATAGGTATTTTTTATGGCTGCTGGGTTTGTATCACAGTAATTTTCATATTATGTTTTTTCTATGTCTGTTTGTTTGTCAATGTTGTTAAAGTGAAATAATTAGTTATAATGACTTTAGATGAACTTGTTGAGATAAATCCCATATAATGTGAATACTTTCCTAAATCAGTTGAAGGATCAATCTAAATCAGGAAATTATACATTTTTGTTAATTTTCTAAGAAAATCATGATAATGATGAGTGCTCCTCTAGTTAACGCAAATTGACAGATATTTTGATCACGCTATTTTTTTTCAGTAAAAACAATAATTTTCTGCTTGGTGATATATCAGAACCCTGCTAATGCATATTCAGATTGTTCAAACATATTAGAATTAAACATAAAAAGTAATGGAACTATCGAAATCTGAGTTCAATAATTGGCACTGCTACAGATGTAGGTAACATTTGCTTGCGTGTTTAATTAAGTGTGAATACCTAAAACATTTGCACCAACCCCCCCCCCCCCCGCTAAATTTCGGGGTTGAAAAATTAATTTTATATGAGAATGAGGATATTATGTTATTTATAATTAAAGAAAATCTTTTACCTGTTTGTCTTGTAAAGGTGGATATGTTGGGAAAACCATATTCAATAAGCAGCACTGGCTCGTCTTCTCCAGGCCTAAGGGTCAAATATATTTATGCAACGGTGCAACCGCCATTGTCCGTCCATCAGTTTGGCATCAGTTTTTCTCCAAATTCTGCTGAGTAACCAAATGTGTAAAATTCTTGCTCACAACCTTCTTGGCCCTTATTTAACCCTTTCAACCCTATGTAACTTTAGCAGACTCTACCATGCATTGATCTGGATGAGTCCATTTGGTCTACAGTGGTGAAAGGGTTAATGTAGTAGGGACAAATGTGTTAAAAAATATACAAATCTTCAAAAAGCTGTAATGTAAACTTGCTTTTAGTCAATTTATTTTTATGCTGAATTGAACTTTGATCTTGACCTTTTTGAAGGTCACAGATGAAAGAGTTTTTTGCCAACAGTACTGCATAAATGCATTGGATCTCATGCTAATTTTGATTAACATTTTTAAGTAATTATACCCCAACTATATTTAAACTCCAAGTAAACCTCTGCTTACTTTGTACTATAGCTGGCATACCTGTATCCTGATATGGCAGTACTGTGCACTATGTATTGATAATGTTTTATTGAAGTACTATCATACAATTTGATACTTATCCCATCCCAAATGTCTGCTTAAGTTTATTATAATTATGATATAAAATGTACTAGTTATATATCCTTCCACTGATTTTGTCTGTTTGGTTTAACAGGGGCTGTCTGATGAGGTGAAGGCGCATCTGAAATCTGTGTACGTTACAGAATGTATGAAACGTCTGCAGCTGTCTGGAACATTTGATTTGACCTCTGGTACTGTGACGGGCTTACACGTGTATCCAGACACTGACCCAGTCGTGGCATACCACAATAGTGATGATGAACATGCTGAGGGAACAGATATTACTGGTCAAAAATGGAGCTCGGAATACGACTGTCTTTACCTCAGATGGGCAATGAAGGGTTTAGGTTTGTAATTTATTAGAATGGTAATTTCTTCATATTTTCATAACAATACATAAAATAAATATTTTATTTGTTTAACAACAATTATGAAACAATTTCTTTCAACTTACCTTAATCATTCTTGTTCGCCCGGTTATTTATATTTGAACTTCACTGAGAAAATCTATTCATTATATGACCAATTGTTCATTTCACCATTCACATCTACTTTCTCTAAATTATAATAATAATAATAATAATTCAAGGTTCTTTTATACTGCCTTATCACAACCTTGTTCGTAGGTCACTTCAAAGCATATTATATATGCCATGTACTTATATCTTCCCAACCTCAGTTAATGGAGGAATACAAATTTAAACTGTGACAAACATAACCCAGTATACAGTATACTTATAATATAAAAAAGAAGAAATGCTTGTAAATTAAATAGAGTGTATAAAAAGATGGATTAACTGGCAAAATATGCAGCAACACAATTTGAATGCAAAATTAAGTAACAGTTATGATCATGTCGTGTCATAGATTGTCTATTAATGTCCATATAACTGTTTCTAAATAAGCATGACCCCCTTAAGTATTATGATTGTTGAAGACCAATATATAGATATAATCTATGATGTACAGTTGGTTTATTTTGTTACAGGCACAAATGAGCAAGCAATCATCGATGTCGTTGCCACGAGAAACAACTCACAGAGACAGCAGCTCAAGGAAAAATTCAAAACAGCCTTTGGCAGGGTAGGTTTGTTGGTACATTGCTTCAGTAAAAAACAGTTTGATGTTTGTATTGTTTTAAAGTTTTCTTGTCTATAGTTTTAAACAAATCATTAATATCTTTAAAATATTATATCTGTTGAAAATTTGTAAGGAAGGAACAGATAAATTCATTTCCTATTTTAATGACATACACGACTAGTTTATGTTGGTTAACCTTAAACCAGTTGTCATAGTATTCATGGCATTTTTTAAACTTAACAATCACAAATTATTCAAACTGCTGTTTGTTTCACACTTTTCTTTAAGGATCTGATTAAAGACATCAACGGAGAGCTGAGTGGTAATTTCCGTGGAGCTGTTCTCGGATTGTTTGAGCCCCCCGCACGATACGATGCCTGGTCCATCAAGGAGGCTATTTATGTAAGTAACTTAGCATTAAGTCTTCACTGGAACCAAAATCATTTACTGTATGATTTTTTATTTCATCCTTAAGGTGGCTCCACACATCGTCCTCAGCGTCCATTTTCGTGACGTACTTCTGGAAAAAGTACAGCTCGGACTCAATTATCATGATCGAAATGTGCATGTACACCGTGTTGTCATTTCCGTATTACGTATCCGGCATTCAGTATCGTAGTGCAAATTATAGTGTCACCTGGGCCGTTTTCGTTTAAGTGGTCAAACCGATCGGACCACTGTTGTTCGTTTATTAAATAAGGTAGGACCTAGTAATCTGATACTGCTTTCAGGCGAGCCTTGAGCAAGCCTTGCAAGGCCTGCATACACATTTGCAGGTCCGCCAGGATTTATACCCGAAATTGTTACATTTATAAATGGTCAAACCGGTTGCTCCGCATAAACAAACAGGCCCCTGGTAAACAATAGTACACGTGCGTGCCAATGATATGTCAACACCTGATATCAAGATTTTACCAATTAAATTTAAAGATTTTCGCTGTTGAGGGAGTTTCGCTCTCTCGATTAAATCGTGTTTACAAATGTAGTCTACTTACTCTGTGAAAATAATGTTTTGTAAAATATCAAGATACCTATGAAATGCATGTGTTGTGTAAGTGCACATGAGAACGGCATACCATGCGATAGCCTATGGTCACATATGTACCTGACATGTAATTATAAATATACCGTGAGTTAGCGGACTGTGGAATGATATCCAAAGTGTACATGACTGAGGATAATTTGGTTCCATTAAAGAACAATAAATTGATTATTTTGATATCATATATTTGATTTATTTCCATCATTTTTGTTATATGTAAACAGAGACAACTGTCATTGTGTAAATGTCATCCCTCTGCAAAAAGTTCCGTTTTTTTTCAAGGAAGAAAACTCTCACCCGGATTGAAGTGATTGTAAAATGTAAAATAAATTAATTATAAAGCCATTGTGTATATTTTGTTCAATTTCCCATTCTATATTTATAGATCTTTGTGTCCTGTTTGCTTTTAGCTTGTAGATAATCACTTTTATCCATACAAATTCAATAAAAAAAACACTTTGTGTAACATGTGTTGCATATTTTGCAATAAATAAAATATGTGTAGGGTTAACTAGAAATGCTTCTTTTCATTTTATCATTGTTGTTATTGTTCCGAACAATGCCACACACACAAAAACCTGGAAAATATTAAAATTGACGAACATTCATTTTTTTGGTATTTTTTTCCCAAAAAGTCCCCAAACTATCGGAATGTTTAGATTTTCATAAAATCAACTCTACATAGTTGCATAACCATTATATGAAAGTTTCAACGAATTTTGCTTGCTAATTGCGAAAGTGTGGAGCCACCTTAAATATTCTGCAGAAAAAAACTAAATTCAAGAATAATTTATATTCTTAGTTTTCTAAAAATGTTTATCCATAAAAAACAAAGTTAAATGCGTTTTTTTTAAAGAAAGACTAATGCCTGAATATTTATGTTTCATATCATGTTAATGCTGACAGTGAATTGATTATGATGATAGTGTAGATTACTTATTTCATGTGCATGATTCTAATTTATTAAGACTTATACACATGAAGTCAGACATGAATGTTAGTCCTTCAAAAGAAATATGGAAAGTTGTTTGTTAAAAATTTAAATGTATGTGCGAAATATCAGTGACCTTTGCTACTCAGAAATCTAAATGACGTCTCATAGGTTTTAGAGAGAGCAGTACTAATCAGACTCACCATTTCCATGTCCACAGGGCCCCGGGACAGACGAGCGTAGCTTGATTGAGATCATGATGACTAGGACCAATGCTCAGATAAAGGAGATGCGAGAATGTTATGGAGAGGGTATAAATTATAATTTTAAGAACCTCATTAGGGCCAGACACTGTGATTTCTGTCATCCAAGTTCAGTCAAATTTGTATCTAGAGACTGAATTGTGGGAATCAATGAAGTGGTCTCTTGTTGAAGGTGGACTTTTAATACAGGTTCAGTTAACTCTTTCACCACTGTAAACCATAATAGACTCATCCAGATCAATGCATGGTGGAGTCTACTAAAGTTACATAGGGGTGAAAGGGTTAACATGAAAATAGTTTCAGAAAGGTGGTCTCTCAAGCAGGTTTCAAGTATTTATACAGCAGTCTACTGAATGATGGTGAGAAATGTTAATCTATCACCTGTAAAATCCACTTTTACCTATTGATAATTTTATAATTACGTTAATATATAAAAACAAACTACATGTAGTACCCTTGACATGATCATATAGTTATAGCCTGGATCCCAATGTAAAGAAAATACATGGATACCAATAGCACAAATGTTATACATTGGACTGTACAATTAAGACAGGTAGCTCAGATCTTAAACCTTCAGATCAACATGCACTAGGGTTCATGATACATTGTGTTTATCAATTTGATACCTAACATAGAAATACAAAGTACAAAGTACAAAGGAAGACAATTAATGAGTTGTACCTTCTCTGGATATATATCACATGGATATCTATTATTTCTAATTAATTATGTTCGCACAACAAATGTGTGGCAGGTTTTATTTCAGTGTCAAGATTAATTGTTCTGTTCTTAATTGTAGTAAATGGACAAATCTTATTTGTCTGTGTTTTAGAAAGTTTGTTGATGTTTCCTAATATATAATGTCAGTGAATGACTCATGGTTCTTATAAATGACAGTGAATTATTTTCTAAACAGTTGTCAGTCCAAGCCGCAAGGTGACAAAAAACAAGATTGAGGATGACATTAGGGATGATACTTCTGGGGACTTCAAGCATCTCCTCATCTCAGTAGCCCAGGTATAACTTCGATACACTATTTTACTATAGGGATAAACCCATATGGTGTTTATCAGATCCATGTATTCAGGTGTTTTTTAACAAATGTTTCAGATTCTTTGTCACCACAACAGCTAGAGTGTATCCCCTGCAGGCTTTAGACTTTTCAGTAGACCCAATAACTTTCATGATGTAATGCATTCGAATGTACCTTCTTAGGCATTTGTACATCAAAGAACATCAAAGAACAGAGTGTTAAATATTCAGCAATACGGAGGTCAAGATCTCTTTATATGTATCTCCTTCATTATTTAAAGCTGCAAAATCAGACAAACCAGAGGTAGAGGGCAAATGAAATTTACTTGTTCAATCATATTTCCAAATATAGGGAGGAAGAGATGAGATAACTGTAGAGCAGCTTAATGATGGTGTAGTAGAGATTGAGCGTGATGGGGTAGGCACTGGACTCTTCCAAGTGGACTTCAAAGAGCTAGCTGATATGGATCAAGCCAAAAGAGATGCCACAAAACTGTTTAAGGCAGGAGAGGACAAATGGGGCACTGATGAGGAAACTTTTATCAGGATATTTGCAACCCGAGACCCATATCAGCTTCGCGCTACCTGGGATGAATATGTCAAGGTAAGGCTTGTAGAAGGTAATAGATGCCTGCAAGTTATTATCCTGAATGTCATTCGAAATGTACTACATTTGTTTTATTTTCAGCTCACCTGGCCCAAATCAATTTTGTATAAACTGAGGTGTGTGGGCCCCCTTCTTTGGTGCTAATGGGTTGGGCCCATTAGGGGAAAAAGAGGAAAACATTTAAGATCCTTCTCCTTTTGTACCGATGAAGGGATTTTAACCAAACTTGTTCTAGAGCATCTTTGGGCAATGGGAATTCAATATCTATATCTATAAATGGAGGATGTGGCCCCCCTCTGGAGGCTACCTCCTTAGGACATAACATAGAAACTCATTTTCTTGGTGTCTTACCCACCAAAACATGTAGTGCTTCTTGCAACTTTGCTTCTTGTATTCCTTTGATAAACCTGTATGGTACTCAGCAGATTTTAAATTAAAAATAAAATATCAGGTGAGCTATTAGCCCCTGAGCCTCTTGTTATCAATTAACCTATTACATTATGGATTCTAAATATATGTATCTTACATACACAGGACAAATATATTTTCTGAAAGGTGTCGAAAAATACATTTTCAAACATGCAGATTTTGGGTTTAAATTCCTGTGTGCAACTACCATTTTATACAATTACTTGTAAAACTCTCCTTTATATAACTTTGCATGGTTGTTGTGAGAATGTTACACCCAAACAAGCACTAATAAGTTGGCTTCAGATCCGCGCTATCACAAAGAGGCAAGTACACCAACATACACTGTCTCCAGCACACATACACACATGGACGCTTACACAATACACATAGAGGCACATCCTTAAAGGGGCTTGTCGGGGGAAAAATGTCATATTTGCTAAAATGGCATACCCATGTTTAAAATACCTTCTTATGAAATATACCGATTCAAATTTTGCTGAAATTCATTCCCTAAGAGTAAAAGTTATAATTATATTAAAGAAATCCTAAATCGTCACCTGACAGTCTAAAACTCTCAATTGACCCAGATCTGTGATGTAATTTTACCGCACGTGTGTGTTATCAACAAGGCCAAATGTAAACATCGCAGCGAAAGAAAAAGATGCATGACAGGCACGAGGTATCGATACCGTTATATATAACAACAACATATAGGTAGGAATACTACACTTGCATCATACATGACCTTTGAAAACAATTATTTACGTATGGTATTGCTGTCTTGTCCGCTAGTTGAGTATGACATGGCACATGGCGGCGTGCTATTGTTGTTATATTCACTGCCTCACTTTCGAAACAACCAAGTGACATCTATAAATAGATCTGCGCTAAATTTACGCGGGGCTTCCCCGAGATTTCAGTGGTCAAAACTGGATATTGCAAGCAGAACTTGACCATTATATTGCCGTCATATAACTTTTGGAAGGCCAGAGAACGCATTTAGACCCATTTATTTTGTATTTTTTCCCCCGACCAGCCCCTTTAAAGGACCTTAGCTGTTAAATATAAAAACTAATAAACCAAAGTTAAACCCAAACAAACAAACATTGCTGTTGCTTATGATTAACTGAGACAAATATGTCTATAGCTTTAGTTCTATTTCAATTTTGTTAATACTTGGCAATAAATGTTACTTAATGTACAGTCCATATTGATTATATTAGGAAATATTATCTAGATCTCATAATCCAAGATGGTTGCCATGGCTTCAGGTTGGCCGAGACATTTTAAGCTATACTTTCTATCCTGTTGGCCTGATTTTGTTCACTCTTGGTAGAAAATGGTACTTGTTAGATAACATATGTTTTTTAGATGCCCATATCTTGATATCCAAGATGCTCATTGTGGCTCACATAAATGTATACAGGCACACAAAACAATGGTGACAGTACCCAAATCGGATCACCAAACCATCAGTTTAGTAATTCATTGAAAAATCTGGAGAGGAACTATATTCACTTATGGTTGTATCAAAGGAAGAATATTGATGGGTGCATGTTCTTACAAACAAAACTAGCACCTGGGGCTCACTTGAGATAGTTAAAGAACACTCTGAAGTCACCAATCAGTGTTTCCGCTTTTTGTGAATGTCAGGACCCAAATCGTTCCAAGGCTTGAATTTTGCAGTATCGTACACTTCAAATGAATATGTTTTGTCAGCATATTACCATTTTCTGATGACCTTTAGAATTTATAGTATTTCTGGTGCTATTTGAACTTAAAAACTGGTCATCTGTAGACAAAAAATGGTGTATTGCTATCTTTTCTAAGAGTACATCGTAGTTATAACTGATTTGTTGACTCATCTATTGATTTATAAGTATTTTTGCCAAAAGTGATCCGATTTGGGTACTGATCCGATTTGGGTATTGATCTGATTTGGGTACTGCCACCTTAGTTAATTTTGTTCTCTGATCTCACAAAAAAAATGTGTTTGATTCTATATATGCATGCACATCTTTTCTTGTGTTTTTTTTTACAGTAATCTTTAGTCAAATAATGTGTAGGAAATCGTTCCTTTTATTACAGCTCACTCAACGAGACATTTTAAACTCTGTTGATCGGGAAACATCTGGAAACTTTAAGAAGGCACTGTGCACCATTGGTAAGGCATTCCTTGACTTCAGATTTAGCAATCTAAATACATTGTGTAGCTTTATTTTCTGTCTCGATATTGTCAGAAATATATTAAAAGTTATATTCATAAAATTGCAAAAATGAAATGTGTTCTGTCATTATTTGTTTTTCCACATTGATTAATGTTGATCAGTAGCACGGCATGGCTCATGGGTAAAGTCATTTCAGAGAAGGGCGAGGACAAATGTAATGTGAGTGCTGGGTTGACTAAGGGTATCATATACCCAGCGTCATGATACATTGGTCTGACTAGCTTTATTACGTGCTTTCTAGCAAGTTTATAAGCTCTTCTCCAGGAAAGTACCGATATATTATCTTGGCCAGTAGTTTCTTACTCTATTTGGGACTCCAGAACTGCCTGATTTAAATCCTTGTGGTGTACAGCTCCTCCTGTCAGCTTTGTACCTCACTTTCTTGATCTACTCTTTCTATCAGACATTCTCTCTCCCCATCGGTCCTGCAACAGGCCAAGATTAAGTGATGACTTGTTGATTAGCCAGGCAATGTTTGACATTACTTTCTGTACAAAAAGATATAAAGGTGACTATATGGGCAATTTTCCCAAGAAACTGCATACAGATAGTCCTTGTTCCTATGTACAGAAATACCTCCGTTTCACACGCCATTACAAGGATTTCCAATTCTGGTCCTTGCCATTTGAGTTAACCATCGCACAGTTTGGTTACTAAAGTGTCGGTCGTCGTAATTTTCATACATCCATATTATCCTTGTTCACATCTACTTCAACAATTCCATGTTGGACATGGTCAGGATTTGCTGGTGCAGGATATCCTGATGGTCCTGAAACTCTTGCTGCAAATGGGTTCATTACATCTGGAGAGAAGCTAGATATTTCATCCTCTCAAAATTTGAGGTCTGTCTGCAACAAGTTTAAATCTCAGCTTCGACATACCAAGACTATGGCAGCTGCCCCCGCAGTGACATCTAGCATTATGAATATTTGCTGGGAATCTCTTTGTGAACCTTTTAGTGTTCCATCATTGAATTTCGTCATATTTCGTATTGCACTGTCTTCAGACATATCGAGTTACTTAAACATAGTTTTACTTCAGTGGTCAAGTGACTATACACACCTAGCAATAATCGGGTCCATGGATGTTTTTCTCCTGAGCCTATCAAGTTCCCTTAGGTTTGTAAGCTTAAGGTGGCCCTGGCTGTGAGTTTACTGATGAAGAGATGCATGGTCTTCATAACGTTAGACTTCATGAGACTATGATCCCTGCTTTGCCATTGGCCTTCCGACTCGCTCTTCTGTTTTAATCATCTCTCCATCCTTATTGTGTTGTCAGATCGCTTTACTAACTTATACCTGAGGGTTTTGGTTTTGGTTCCTGCCAGCCCGCTTTCTCTTTGACCAACTGCCATGACCAATTATGTGGTTGCTCATCAGTAAGAATCAAGAGCATGCCAATATTATTTCGCAGGTTTATAATTTCATCCTGATATTTTCTCCAGTTAGTTGTCAGTATATATATAGTCTGTGAAGTTGACTTAATCTCGAATTTATATGCTGTAGTATTAGATTTGACAAAATTTGTTTTTCATGGTTTATTAATAGTCACTTTTATCTGTTACATAGTGGCTAGTATTCGTTGCCGACCGATGTTCTTTGCTGACCGTTTGGTGGAATGCATGAAAGGACTGGGAACCAATGATGACGATCTAATTCGTATCATTGTGTCCAGATCTGAGGTATGTATTCCAACTTTGTACAGCCAGCACACCAACACCAAGCATTTTGCCAAACAGTCAATTACTTAGTTATACTTTTGTGATACAGTTTTAGTTGCCCAGTAGATGATCTATTTTGAAAACAAAATGTTTCCTTTGCTGTTCTACTATACTGCTCTAGAGGAGTTGAATAATAGCAAACATACCATACACTTACTTATCATGTTTTGGGATTCAAAAGGATCATGGAAAACACAAAGGTATTTGCATATTTTTCAAGGGTTTGAGAAAGTCTTAAATTGAAAATTGAAACCGAAGTTTCAACTTTGAAAATGGATATAGAGGTTTCAAGTTCTTAAGCTAACATGTCTTTCAACAACTGAATAAGACAGGATTACTGAATCTTTGACTCTTTGAAAATTATACCCAAGAAAATGTTATGGACTTAAAAGTTCTCTTACTGTTTCATCAAGGAAATAAAGTCCTAAATGTTTATTGATCAAGGTTGAATGTACTCTATAATTCGTTTGTTTAAATTTCAGATTGACATGGTACAGATAAAGGAATGTTTCCTCCAAAAGACCAAACAAACACTGTGGAACTGGCTGAAGAATGACTGCAGTGGCGACTACAAGAGACTCCTTCAGCTTATTGTTGGGAAAAACTAAGGGACACAACTCTAGTAGAACTAAATATTCCTGATGAATTATCAGTGCTTATGGATACGTGACAAAATCCGTTTTGTCAACTGTTAGAGATTTTTTTATTCAAAATGAAGTCATTGGATATCTTGTTCTGCCTTCATAGGAAAGTTCTTCACTATTCTCTATTCAAAACACAGCGATGGGAAAACAATATTTGCATGCAGCAATATATTTAAATACCCTTCATCCATGCTGATTTTTAAGTAGTAAAATATAAAAATATTGACAGACGTTTGTGATGCACCCGTATAAGTGTTTAAGTAAAATTTGTAGACACTGCAGAACCTGTATATGTATTTATCACATTTTACATGTAATAACAAACCTTGAGATACTTTAAATTTTGATATAACACCCTCGTTTCCTATCCTTTCTTTTTATCACCTTGTATTTCCCTTTATACACTTCCTGCAATATATTATTTTACTGTATAAACCCACCTAGCGCCTCTTCATGGAAAATGCTGACTTATTTTAAAATATGATATCAAAATTATGGTAATACCTGTACAAATGACCACCTTTACGTACACCCATTGCTGTTGTACCTATTTTCTGAGAAGTTAGATTAAAGTCCTTCCGGATTTGTCTTTGTATGTGGTAGAGTGATAGAATTTTGAATAGATAGAATGAGTAGCAGTGCTAGAAGACAATTTTGTTTAAAAGAAAGCTATTCTACCATCTTGATTTTACAATTCTTACATTTGTTATAATGTTTTATCTTATAATACTGCATTGTTGTCTTGTAAATAATTATTCGTGCTTTTGCATATAAATACCAGCATCATATTTCCATCCAGGTGAATTCTTGTGTGTTTGGAACTTGTTACTTTGCAGGGTCCGATTGTTCAAACTCAGATTCAGTAACTTGACAAGTTGTTAATTACAAATCATATCATATTCTTGTCTTTAGATGATTGCTTTGAATCCTGATACACACATCGTTAGTTTTGAATCTCAATATTAATTAAAATTTGCTGGTTTGAAATCTTCCATTAATTGTGGTGGGGGGTTTTCTTTTGAAAAAAAAAATCAGAAAAATCAGGAAACAATATAACTGATACAGTCGAACCTCGTTATCTCGAACTCTTTTAACTCGAAGACCCCGTTTATCTCGAAGTATTTCTCCGGTCCCGGTCAAATCTCTTCTTTATCTTAGTAAATAAAACTCTGATAATTCGAACCCTGAAAAGTCGAAAAACTCGGATACCTCGAAGTAAAATATTGGTTTAAATAGCGTTAATCCAACGTAGTATCCAAATTTCATTTTGTCATTTGTTAATTCTTTGATACAAATAAAACGCAAAAGTACGGCATTTCGCCATTCCGTGTTTATGAACATCTTTCGTAAGTAGACTAGCATGAAATCAGTAAAAAAGAATTTACGACAAAGCTTAAACTGTAAAGTTTACGGACTGTCAAAACCATGTTATTCATAATAAAGAACAAACTGCATCAATGTTGATCAACAGTAATCTGTACTTACTGCGAGTCGGTTTAATGATTTGTACACCTAAACAGACGACAGTGCAAACCGGAAAATTGGTCACAAAGCGTGGTCATGCATAAAAGAGTTCCACAGTTAAAATCACAACCTAGGACAGCTTTACGGGTTCATGTTTTTACAGGAGCCAGTATGGCTTTGAAGTACTGTTTTACTGCCAGGGATGTGATTCTTCATTTTAGAGGAATTCTTCATATTTCCTATATTCCCAGAATTTCAAAAGTTTATGATTTGCTCCGAAAAATGTAATGGGGTAAGATTTGTTCCTGACTTTTCACTTTCTTCTTTCTTTCTTCTTCCAGTCCAAAATCACATTTCTGACTGAATAATCTGACGCTTGGATGATTATATCTGTTCGACTTGTAGAACGTCGCGTCCTGAAATATTGTAAAGCACTATAGTGTAGAAATTAACATGAACTCTATTATTTAATTGGTGTTAATAACATGTGTTTTGTTTTGCATCTGTAATTTTCACAAATGTGCATTTTGTTCAAACCATAGACTGTGATCTTTTTACTTTTAGATATAGAAATATTTGTTGAAATAAATTTTATTTTCGAAGTATTTGATTTTGTGATATATTCTATAGGTTTTGTTGCTTAAACTGTTTTCACTGTTAGCGTTATAGGTGCAAAACAACGATACAGTATAATGGTGGCGTCATAGGTTATGTGTTTGTGACGTTCCAAACATTGTGTAAAGTGTAACGTCTTCTTTTGTCGTTTTACCAGTTTTCGTGTAATTCAATTTCTTGCTGATTCTGTTTAAGTATGCATATATATATACTTAATTGAAATCGAAAGAATTGCTATGGTATTTTATTCACATGAAAAGGAAGGAACTCCGAAATCAAAATTTTCATAAAAAGAGATGTTTTCCCCCCAAGTAGAATATGAAGATTTACTTCATTTAACGCTGCCTTTGCTCCAGGAACAACTGTAGACTACTTAAAAAACCGTTTATGAAACGTACACTGTGCTGTCTTTCATTATTCATGTAGTTTGTTTCCTATTGGGGTGAAATCAATGAGTTTTTAGATAGCTTCTAGCAGATCCGGTCTGTTACCCCTGGCATTAGACGGGCCCGCACAGGAATAATACACCGAATCTCTAGAATAGGAGCAATGCACATGTTATCCACGGAGATAACGAGGAATTTTATTGTGTTTATTCCATCGCTGTTCTGTACGTTATCATTAAGAATCTTGGAGCGAATGGTTCCATACCATTTTGGTTTATATATAATTTGACACTTAATAGCCGAACGTCACACAAAGTTTGCTTGGGTCGTTTCAGAAAGGCAGTGTTCAAGGTCAAAGTATAAGGTAAATACGGTACGATGGAATCGGTGTCCTTATTACTAATGTCTACAATGTATGGACTTCTCTATCGCAATTTCGACAAAAGTCGATGTCATTACCTTAAATTATAGAACAAAAAGATATAAAATCGTCGCCAATTTGTTACAGGATCTGATCAGGAAAACAATAAAACTAACCGGAATTCGAAACACGGAACCTCCTGACTCTACCTTCGGCACCTATTTAAATGTCCATTACATTCTAACAGTTTATAATTGGGGTAAATAAACTCCTAAAACCAAATAAACGCGTTGCCAATTTGGCACTTGTCACGTTGTACAGAACATTCTTGCAGTTATTCCAAACTACTGTGGATGAATAATTACACCTTTTCGGATGCAAAATGTTGTTTTCCCCCTGCGGATGTTTTAATGTTTAACTACATTTCTGTGGGACAGCCAAAGAATGCAATCAACCTGGATGGTACAAGTCTTTTGTTTTGGTATATATAATTAAATCAACCACTCCTAGGATTGCTTTCAAATACAAGTGTTCATGCAGGCGTCGCTTCCGACTTTAAATACGTGTTTAATAACATACCTTTTCCTCCATTAAGCAGACAGGAGATGATCTACATGTATTACCGTTGTCTAAACCATGTCCCTAAGGTTGTTATGGTTAAACCCCTTGCAAAAGTCTTATTCCAAAATATTTCAAGATTGCCAAATTTGATGGAAAGATAACCGCAAAGACTGCGCATAGGCCATACCAACATCACACATGGTTACATTTTTATCGTTAGGAACNGTTGTACAGAACATTCTTGCAGTTATATCCTAAGATATTGCAAAGTGAACATGCACATCTATTATGAACTAATATATTTTGAGATATATTGTTTTACCGTATAATTCTGACGAACTAAATTTGCAATAATTCGAAAATCATGGTTCATTTAGGAAAACGTTTCCATGCGATATTTATCGCAACAGGATACAAACGCTTCTAAGAATGATGTGTTTACACGACGTACTATAGTATTACGCATTTATAATGACTTAGTACAGATTACTTATGAAAGAGGAAACAAGTTTGAGGTTTTTCATTCAATGAACCCACTCACTGACCACAACCACTAGTAGTACAAGTGTTGTGGTGTTACTTTATATAGCGTCCTGCTTATAAAATGGTCGTGTGACAAATAACTACATCAACATCAATGTTTTGTTTTGATTACGTTTCTGATCTTGACCGGTTTGATCGCCAGTTACAAGTTGCTTTTTTATGTAAGAAGAAGATTTTTTTTTGTTTTAATTTTGTGATTCGATTACTAGTTACACATGAAGCTATAACATGTAAGATAGATGTTTTGTTTTAGTTATATACACAGGATGTCCATTTCCGATATATTCCTATAATTTCCTATATATTTGGCCATTCCTATATTTTTCCTATATCTTGCTAAAAATCCTATAAATTCCTATGTTAAAACAAAATTATCACTCATATTGTTCAGAATTTCTTAAATTGAGTATAGAGTAATAGTAGTACTTTAATCATACAAGATGAAATTCCAAGGACTATAGTGATGTCCAAAGTAAATGTGTAGGCTGTATAAGTTATATCAATAATAATTATGCCAGAACAGCAGCTATTTGATGTACAATGGTCAATTATTTCCATTATTTGTTCAATGTGTTGTGTTTTTTTCTGTCAGTACATTTTGAGGTCACATGAAAGGAAGTCTCAGTTGACTTGTTGGGATTTCCCTTTGTCTGTTGTCATTGTCGTGCATTATCCGTCCATATGCAAAATTTAGATTTTTAACTCCGAAACCACAGAACCGATTTCAATAAAATGTTGCAGGAAGTTTCCATGCCAAAGGCAAATCAAAGTTCTGTATTATGTGGAACTAACACTCCAGGAGCATGAGTGATAGGGTCAAATTCAGACCCAAATATGAGGCTCTTTATAAAAATTCTGAATTTCATCTTCCTTGTGTTTCCTTATCCCCACTGGGAAGTAGGTAAAATGTACTATAGTTTATATAATCATTCAATTTTAGTTATAATCATAATCATATCATGGCAGTTTGAGACTAAATTAATTCCAAGACTCACACCAGAGGCCTTAGCTAAACTTGGCTCACATTTCAACCATCTTCTTTTTCAGACCTATATATTCTAGAATCAAATACTATTCAAGGATGGATAAGTCCTAAGTTGCTTTATCAAATGTGTGAATTTCATTAACCCCAGTCACCGCTTTTCCCCTTGCTGAGGGGGGTAAATTTTACTGTATAAAATAACACTTTTGGATGTATTTTGTTAATTATCTGTGAGAAGTCATAATTCAAACTTGGTTGGAATATTTGATGGTATGAAAATTTAGTCCCAGATTCACCCGTAGGGCTTGATGGTCTGGGTCAAATAGGGTCAAATTCTTCACACCCACATATGCTAGAATCAGAGACTTTACATTGATGGTAAGGTTCGAAGGTGCTCAAAACTAAATTTCATTACACAATGGTCACTTATCCTCCCTGCAATGGCCGGGGCTAATGTTGTCATCCCACCCTTGCGTCTACAACAGTGTCCTACTTTAGGTTAAAGCTGTTAAGGAAGTTTTTCCAGACTGTGTTAGATGATCACCACACTCAATATACCATAAGTTTTAGACTAGCATCAATAGGTTGAGGTATTTATGTGGAGGTAGACAATGTGCTGAACCATTAGTCATATTTTAAAGGCCAAAAGCAGCTTAATATGACTTGGTTAAAAAAAGAATTGCGGTTGGCTGTTACAAGGCTGAGGCGTTACATTGAGTGTTAGCAATGTGCTTAACCATTATTCATATTCTAGGGGTAAAAATAAGTGACTTTTAAGTCAACTGGATTTGGAACATTTTGTGATGCTGTGCAACTTTCACAGATTTCCTTTACTAGATATTGATTTCAAAGCTCTTTTAATTCATTGCAATAATGTATTTTAATATTTGGATATAAATATATATACAACCCTAACTTCACTGCATCTAGCCATTTTTTATTTTTTTTTACTTACATTGTACAAAACAAAAACTCAAAATAACAAGACCAGTAACGCAACTTACAACGCATTAAGATGTAAGTCATGTACTTATATCACAAACATGTGAGCTATACAGTTCCCCAACAGCTCTTGTTCTGTATAAGCTGGTCCAAAGTCAAGAAACCATTAAA